AACAAGTCTGGGTCTGTTTCGGGCAACACAGCCGCGCGTGCAAACTCCCTGAGCTGCTAGGGTTCTGGCGTCAATTTCTGGTCCACCTGAGCATCACCATGACACACCGTCTTGACCCCGCTGCGAATAAATCCCACGCAGCCCCAGCATGAACACAGCGTAACACTCACACACTGTAACACCGAGATTCCTCGCTGGATTCAACAAAACAGCACACACGACCTGTCAGTCGCTTGTACCCTGGTGCAACACAACATGGTATTAGAACAGTGGAGGGGCGGTGCTGGCTATAATATTATTGTCGGGAGGCTTACTCTGCTGGGCTATTCGTGGCCGGCTATTCCGCTACAGTGACGCTCTGTATTGCCACCTACCTGAAGAGAGCCCCCGAGGCTTGCCCTAACAGAGCCCAGCAGACAACACTAGCAGAGCATCCTAATGAACCTGCTGCCTGGGACACTCCTTTCTTCTTTTTTTTTTTTTTATTAAGGGGGAAACAAGCAGAATTTAAAAACTCTGTTGGTTTATCAGCATGGTTGCAAATTTAAATTAAAATTAATTTCTAGCAAATCCACATTAAGCAGGCAGCTAATGTGACTCATCAGTACACCTTGCCTTCATGATAACTTTTGTCTTGATGGTCTGATGTGGGCCATACTTGACAGCATGTTTTAGATACTAGATGCTCCAACCACAGGATAACAGAATCAGGGTTTGTATGTGTTGCAAAATGTGGAATATGTAAACATTTTCTTAAGAAAGGATGTTCTTTGATGTTTGATCCTTGTATACTTTCAAGCCTAATCAGCAAGAAAGGAGACTTAACCCATGAAACAGACAGCAGCCAACAAGCTCCAAGTGATGTCCAGGCGTTAGAAAGACAAATTACTGGTTGGTAGCATTGCCTTGTTAAAGTTTAGAGCTTGACAAGCTACAGTGATCTCAGACCTAGAGGGAGGTTAACAAATCTTGGGGAGAAGGATGTACCACTGATAGTGGACACAGCGAATGCGGAATTTACAGGCCACATGGACATTTGGCAGAACCCTAGAAGATAGTAATAAAGACAACTCAGCGACTGTGCTGGATCGGCTCTGACTGGCTAGAAGGTAATTCTGGCAGGGGGAGATGATAACCACTGACTTACGGCCACCGACTCAAGGAACCCACTGACCCAAAAGAAGAGAAACACTGAACAAGCAGACTGATTAGCATGAGAAGTGACAGAATCATTAACCAATAGAAGATAGAATACTAGTTGATAAGAGCACTATATAACTTGTAGCCAGTGAACATTAATGCCTTTGTTTGCTAAAGTGCATAAATAGTAAAAAGTTTTAACAGTTAATCTGCTGGATTTGTGCAATACCACCAAGCTCTCAGGCTTGTACAACTCTGAAATAAATAATCAATTTATTACAAATTGATAAAAAAGCCTAAGTTTGTAATTAGTGGCTTGTTGCACACCAGGTAACAAATCTAATTTTTGTGGACAACATATGTGTTGCTAGTCCTTCTCTGCCCCATTTTATGTCAGTCTTTAGTTCTGGTACAAGTAAGGAGCTACAAGTGTCAGAATTGACCTCAGTTTCTGGCTCCATACAAGTTATTGCAGATTAGCAGTCATTTATTGCCCAGTGGCATCACGCATGCACAAGATTTAAATGCCTTTACCACAGGACTGATGCAAAAAATATACTTGACTGCCAAGTCCTTCTGCTTACTGTTTTAAGAGCAAAGTGCACTTTAATTCATAAAATTAGCAAAACTACTTCTGCTCAAAGGACTTCTTTCATGCTAACACAAAAAGAATAAAACAGATAAAAGATCTCCCAATGCTGACTCCCAGTAAAGCTCAAACTAGACTAGTCCCATCTAAGCAAATAGTTTAAGGACTCTTAGATAATATTGTGTCCCTGGAGGATGGAGACCAGAGCCATCTTTGTCACTCACAAAGTCCCTCACTCCTTTGCAAGCAAGTTGCATCCTCACTTCTCTGCAGATTATTGCTTTTAACTCAACCTCCCACTTTGTGGCTGCTTTTCACTCTCCCCACCCTCTTTGACAGCACATAATGAAGAACGTTTGCTCACAGAGTGAGTTTCTACAACTGTACAGTATTTTCTGACCACTCCACCTAGTTTTTGCTTCTTACATGACTCTTCTCTTAATAGGCTTTCTAGTCTCTCCCTTCACCTGAATGGAAATTATTCACATTTTTGCAACACTCCCTCTTTTCTCAATGAGCAACTAGTGCACAAACGAAAGAAGCACCCAACAGTCTCTAATCCTGTGGAGCAAAACCTCATCCCAGATGAAGCAACACTCAAAACTCCCGGTGACCTCAAGAGGGGAAAAGCTATGCCCAGAGACACACCTTTAACATTCAAATCACAAACTGCAATTGGACAACTCGTCCATGTGCACAGAGTGTTATTGTTCCTAAAATTGCTGTTAATAAATTCAGGTTGGAAAACTTACTGTAACCAGTAAGTACCTCCTCCAGGGACAGGTCTCAGAGATGTGACAATACCAGACAGCCTTTTATCAACACAAGTATCACCTGATAAACCTCCATAAGGTAAATCTGCACTTTTCTATTGAATGCCAGGTTTGGATGGCTCACTTATCTCCTGCAGCTCACTCAGTCACACTGGAAATTAGTCTCTGTACAAAACGTGCTGTGTTGAAAGAGGCAAAACTACACTTTGCGACAGTACACTGAAGTAAACAGATATTGGGGAAAAATCAGCAGACACACAGAAAGCTCACCCACTGCTTTTACCTTTCCAGATGTGGGACTTCTGTGACATCTCCTTTGAAGAGTGTTTCGCTTGTGTCCCTTAAGCCATTGACAATGCCTTCACCACATCCCTTCACCTCCCTGACAGGGACATCTGGCTGCCCCAAGGCTGATATCCGATCCAAAAACTGTCCGCCCTCCTTCATGCGCTGCTGGATCATGGGAGTGAGTGGCATCTCAAAGCTGAAGTAGCTATCAGGCTCTGAGTACAATGTGTCCAGAGACTCTGCACTGTAGTATAAAGACGCATTGTCTAGGATGTTTTCGAACTGTGAGCTGTACAGATCAGTGGAGACATCGGAGTGCCTCTGCCCAAGGACATCTTCAAATCCTCCCGTGGCTGCTTCGCCCTCTTCCATCATCCTGAAAATTAATCAGAAACAGTTCAATTCAGCTCAGGGGCAAGGTTTAGACTTCTGGGTGAACACAAATCTTTGTGAACAGAAAGGTCAATGGGGTTTAGTGCAGGAGAGGACACTGCAGGTAAAATGCACCTTGCACCACCTCTGTTCATGACTGGCACCATCTCCCTCTCCAGGGACATTAAAAAAACAATCTTCTGGGTAAAAGAGGACAGCTGGGGGACAACCTAATATTGCCTAACAGATAACATCAGCTGCTTATGTGCAAGGGAGAAAAGTATTCAAAAATGCTTAAGGTCTCTCCTAACACCAGTGCCATGCCAAAGGCTGCACATGTTGGAGGTATGTACCCAGATGGAGTTTCTGACCCTGAAAGATGGTTTGCCAGCTCTGCAGTCCTAGGACTGCAATCTTCAGCAAAAAGCTGAAGGAGATCACTCCAAAACGCAAAGGGAACTGAGGGTAATCTTAAAACAGAGAAACAGATTTGAAGGGAGAAGGCTCAGCCAGCTTGCGATGCACAGGGGAAGGTGAGAGAGTTTTTTTCTCTGCCACACCAAATACTGTGGGGTTCCTCATGGCATGTGCCAGAGGTTAGGGCTGCTGGTCTGAGTGATTCCATGCACTGGCCAAAGCAAAACTCCAGGGATCCCAAGGTGCAGGGGTACAAGAGCCCTCCTTGCTGTGTTCCTGTTGTTTCAGGAGCAAACACCTCACTAGGTCAGAGCAGGCATGTTTTGCTCAGAGTGCCAGTGGAACCCTTTGCTTTGTCAAAGATATGCATCAGGAAAGAAAAGCAAGCAAATCATGAAGCTCTCGTAAAAAGCAGCACAACATTTTTTGCAGTATGTATAGCCAAAATTCTGTAAACACAGATAGAGAGAGAGAGACAGAGAGGGGGAATATAGACAGAACTACAGAATCATCAAGGCTGGAAGAGACCTTTAAGATCAAGTCCAATCATCCACCTAGCACTACCACTTGTTAATCACTAAACCACTAAACCGTATCTATCACCCAGCGCCACATCCAGACGCCTCTTAAACACCTCCATGGACAGTGAGAGATAATATAGAAAGATGAAGATATTTAATATAGAAAGCACAACACAGCCTTTACCCTCTTATCACCTACAAGGCCCTGGATAAAATGTCTTGATTATCCAGCCTCTCAGAGGTGCTCACACAGTTCTTGCACAATACAAACTCTGCCGGAAACCAGAAAATCTGTCCAGGCACAGTCAGCCAGGCCTGCATGCTGCCTGTATTTAATTACATGCCATGTCTGGATCCCTAATACACCTGCTACAAATGCTTTGTCACACAGACATCACTGTGCGAACAGCAAGACATCATTACATTTCAAAATCTGAGATGGACTTCAAACATTGGCAAGGTGGTGTGAGGGGGTTTAGTCCCAATTTCATGCACTAGCCACCACCAGGCATGAACTGCTACTATAGGTACCACACCACAGGCAGCAGACAAACATTTGTTGCTTGTCATTACCTCCTAAAAGGGTAGGCAGAAGCCACATGCTTAGAATGAGAGGAGCCCCATCTGACCCATGCACCCCTCCAAGCACCATCTCACCTGCCCTGGCCTCTCACTAGCACAGCCATCTCCTCCTCACCACGGCTCTTCCTGTCCTTCACAAAAACTTCATCCTTCCCCCTTTCATCGAGCACTGCTGGAGGAGTGGCTCCAGAGGCAGCCGGTGCCAGCCCTGGGTCCTCCCAGACTTGCTTTGGTGAGGAGAGCAAGCCTGGAGAGACCATTGGTGAGGCAGGGTGGCTGGATGTTTTGGGGAATGCCTTCCTCTCCACAGACACAGTCTCCAGCAACGAGTGCTTCTTTCTTCTCTGCTCCTCAGCTTTTTGCAGCCATAAAATCTCTACCCCTTGAAATTCTACATGTTTACTCACAGCTGCCTCTTTAGTGAGCCTCTTCTCAGGACCCGTTTGCATTTTGCCTTGACTGTACTCTGAAAACTCCTCAAAATGCGTCCATCCTTCCACTCTGCTGTCTCTTTCCAGGTTTGCCACGGACAGTCTGGGACAGCTTGGCTCCTGCACTGCATGGACCTCCTCAGCTTTATTACTGATGGCTTGCAAGGACTCAGACTGCTTTTCTCCAGTCCATATTGCAGACAGATCTTTCTCTGTGATCAAGTGCTTTTTTTCCTCAGCTGTTCGTTCAGATGGAAGAAGCATGTCTGAGAGTTTTTCTTGGCCTGCTGGAACTGGTTCTCTGGCTGCCTGCACATTTTGGCTGCCAGTAACGCTCCTTTTTTCCATTTGCATCTCTGAATTGAAAGAAATATTTGCTCTCTCTTGCACCTTTGTTGCTTCTAGCTGTCGAGAGATCTTCATAATCTCTGGCAGGTCACCTGCAGGTTGCAAACCTTCTTCCAGGGAATGCAGCTGTGCTGCCTCAGTGTCAGGTCCCAAATTACCTGCAGAAGCTACATGCTGAGGAACGGGCCTGACATCATGGTGACTGTCCCGTCTTTCTGGACTGCATGTTACAGGCTCTGTCCATCGCGTCGATGAAGCCGCTGGTGCATCTCCACTTGGCTCTACCGTGCCATACTCTGGAAATTCATTGATGATAGTATGAGGAAGCAAAGTGCTGCTTCCATGTCCACTACCTGCAAAGGGAAAAAAAAAGAGACCCTGGATTTATCTATCGCACGCACAAAGCAAAAAGCCTGACCTCCCTTCCCAGACCTCTCCTAACAGAGTAAGTACACTCTAGCCTGCAGGGAAAATACCAGTCAGTTTAACTCACTTCAGCACGCTCTCACACTGCAGTAATCCAGAGCAGGTCCTTTTACATAGGAGTTTTTGGACAGCCCAACTTTTGGAGCGTGCACTACTGAAAAAAGGAATGCCAGAAATGTCTGCTACACTTCAGAAAGGGTCCCAGTGGCCCATGAACAGTCTGAGGCCACAGGCCAAGCGCAAAGGCTGGAGAAAGCAGATACTCAGAGGTCTAACATCCATCCACGGCAGGCACCACACATGATGGTTTTACTTAGAAGTTTTTAGGTCATTTTCATTTGTAAAGGTGAAATACTGGGAAGATAATCAGCCACACCCCGTATGCTCCACAGCCTTGACAAAACCAATTAGCTAAATTACAAAGCAATTAATGAGCAACTCAACTTTCTGCCAGAACTACCCTCTTCCTTTAATAACTCAGGTAGCTGAAGGTCATGTTGCAGTGATGGATGCATACAAAGCAGTTAATTTTCTGTTGCAGCAAACACACCACTGCACGAAAAGCTTCCTACCCCTCCTGTCCTTGTGCTGCTTTTTCAACTGATGTAAACAAAGCAGGAGCAAAAACAGATGGTCTCATTTTCCAAGCACCCAGCACCCAGTGGCTCCCAGTGTTGTGGGGTAACAGAGAGCCATTTGTTCTCAGGAGGACCCCATGGATCACACAATGACAGATACTTAGCCACCTTATATCACAGCCCAGGGGGAACTGAGCTTTCTAAAAAACAAAACAAAACAACGAGCAACAGCTGCATTTGTTGCACCTATCTGGGAAAAAAATGGTCTAGAGTATAACACTGCTTTAAATCAAACAGCAGGGTGGCCAAACCCAAACACCTACTCTGAAAAATGTCAGGGGTGACATCTCTGAAACCAAACACCAACTTGCACTGGATGTGTTGCCTCCATTCAAGATGCATCTGAAGGTGCTGCATTGCAACCTGATTTCCATCTCTGCTACAAGCAAGCTGGCCACTTCTGAGGCAGAAACCATGTAGCCGTGGTTAATAATAGGCTGAGTTCAAGGTGAAAGAGAGGATAATTTAATGCAAGCTCAGCACTGCCTTAACATGGCTACCTAGGTATCTGCCAGTGGTTTGTAAAGGCAAACAGCAGCTCACACCTGCTAGCTCACTATCCAGTATATCTAGCCACAAGGTAAATACCACACACCGTGTGTGCTGCAGGATCAAAGTGACATACTTGGACCATGCCAAGCCACAGCCTCTTCCCCAGTAGATTCTCCAGACATCTCCATGCCATTAATTTAATCACTATATAATAAAAATTCAGTGGGTCAGGTTTCACCCAGATGACTTGGTTGCTCTTCAGGACAGTGACCCGATAAAGTAGGGACCTCTTCTCTGTGGCAAGGATGCCCCTGTCCACAGTTGTATCACCGGCCTGCCTTCATGGCAGGGTTTCCAACACATAGCATTTCCAACAACCAGGAGAGTCTGTAGAAGAGAGCAAGGTTCCTCTGCCTACATGAGTATTTCCAGGCTCAGTGCCTTTTCAAACTGACTGAAGCACCAAACAGCCCCCTTTGCATACAACTCAGCCACACATGCCAAGCCCCCACTTTTCATAGCAGGCTGCCACTGGGGGACACTTGCACCAGGACAGACTAACATGTGAGAATGATGCTGTGTGGTTGCAATGTCCCTAGACCTGCACCAGAACAATCCCAAGCCAGCAAAAGCCTCCATCTCCCCATCCTGCTCTAATGCAGTGGCATTAGTTCTTTCTGCTCTCTCAGTGCTGTCTAGAGGTGGGATGTTTTAGGAGAGAACTGCTGATAGGGAGCCTGTCATGGCAGATGCTAACATAAACCCTTCTCAGTGGACACATCCACCTACAGCAACTCTCAATGTGCAGCCCTACAAGCAGGAGGTACCCTAGCTAAGCTAACCTCATCTCCCCAGCACTGTGGGACAATGCTCAGCCAGGCCACTGCCTGAGCCACACTCTGCGGCTGCATTGCCCAAAGAAAGGCAATGCACAGTGCCCCAGGAGCTGGGGTCCCCCTATGCCTCCCTCCAACCCAAGGAAGCCCAGAGCACTGGCCCCTAGCCTCCTGCCGGGCTGGGAGGCAGCCAACGTGCTCCGGAGGCCAAGCCCTGACAAGGCACCACACACAGACCCTGCCAAGGGACCAGGCTCATCTCTGCTAATTGCTATCTTAGCTTCTGAACCGACACGAGGAAAACAGAGG